TGCACCCAGACGGGGCTCAGGCACGAAGACCAGGACCTCAGGCAAGAAGGCGCTGGGGGCTCGAGGACTCAGGCTGTGCCGGGTGGAGGGCTGGATGGCCAGGCAGTGGCCGGCACCCAGAAGGGAAGCCTGGAGGTGGCCGCCTCCCGGCTCCCTGCCCACCAGGCAGCGAAGCAGCAGCGGACCCCACCCCTCTCCCTGGACTCTCCCCTCGCATGGCCCAGTGGCCACTTCCCCAGAACTCACGTCCCTCCTCCTGCCCAGGGCTCCCGTGGCCAGGGGCCCCAGGTCAGGGCAGCCCCTCCCTCAGAGTCTCCGGAGTGGAGGGGAGATGGGGAAGGGTTAACACTCTTTGTTATCTCTCCTTTTAATCCTCAGATGGGCCAGCGGCTCACGTTGTTCGGATCTGGTAGAGAGAAAGCGTTAACTATTATCTGCTTCTAGCTGACCATCTGCTGTTGCAGAAAATTCAAAACCCTGGAGATCTACTTATATCCACATCGTAAACGAGAAAAGATGTTTTAATTAAGGGAAATCAGGTTAACTTAGCTCTAATTTACAAGCCGCCTGCCTAATGAATTGTCTGGGCTGCTCTCTCTTTGTAGAGAGTAAATCTGAGGATCCTTTCCCTCCGCAGTTCAGACACTAATTAACTAACCAAGAATTTTAGTAGCACGCCCGCCTGTCGCCTAATAGTTTTACCTAAAGCCAGCCCGGTCATTGCTTGTACAAATTGCCAATTAAATGTGATTGATATAATGAAATTGGATTGTATTTTTCACTTACCTCCTCCCATCCCCCCTCATCCCAGCACCATCCTACCCCTATGTCAGGGGTGGTGGGCACACGCACCCCCTCACCACCAAGTTGAACAGAACCGGCCCCCCAGCTCGAGCCATGGGGCCCCAAGCAGTGCCCACGCGGGGGCGGAGCACGTCCCTGTTAAGCCAACATTTCTATTAGTTGAAGTTAACAGGCGTAATCTTGTTTCCAGATATTTATCCACGTACCCAGGGCTGCAGTTACATGTTTGAAGTTAGGGGGGGAAAGTGAAAGATCTAAGCGGCCATTCTAAAAATACATTAACAGTTTCCAAAATCTATATCGCTGCTTAATTAAATATGTTATCCTGTTTATAGGATCTGTGGCTAATTATTTAGAGTCATTTAATCTACTCAATTTGCACGTTAATTAAACAGCATCGGGCTGCAGAGCCGGCCGCGGCCGGGCGGGAAGCAGCGCCGCCTGGCGGGCCCGGCTCGCATCCCGCGGACCGACCGGTCCTCGCGCTGGTTCCGCGAGCCGGCCCGGGGACGCTGGCTGCAGGCCTTCAGGCAGGAAACCAGGGGTGGCCGGCGGGCTGCCCAGGACCTGCTCTGCGGCTGTTTATGGGAAGGGGATACCCCTAACCGCAGAACGATGGAGCTGCGCCCGCCCCGCGCCCGCCGCCTAATTGTCTCCGCCGCCCGTCCCCATCTGTCCCTCTCCGCCCGTGTGTGTTTTGGCCTTTGTCTCGCCGCCCTGCGCTGACACCCTCTTTCAAAGCCCACTTCTGTCGCCCTTCACCGATCGCTTCTGCCCCATTAACCCATCGGCACGAGGCTCCCGCAACAAAGGCCCGGAGTCGGGCGGACGCGCGCGCGCGCCTGCCCATTGTCCGCCGCTGACCCCGCGGCCCCCAGCCTGGCCTGACCGGCCCGACGGGGCGGGGCAGGGCCGGCCTTGCAGATAAACAGAGGAGGCGTCCTGCCCGGGCCGAGCTCCGCCCTCAGTGAACGGGGCCCGGACCAGGACGGCCGCCTTGGCAAGGCCGGCGAGCAGCTGCCGCCGCGGGAACCGCGGGCCCGCCCGCCGGGCAGCTAATCCGCCGCAGGCCCCTTTGTCCCTCGCTGGACGTGAAGCTGGCAGAGAGCGCGCCTGGGGAGAGAGCAGGCCCGCCGCGTGGCCTGCCTGGTAAACAAAGAGGAGTGTTGCTGATCGGGGCTGCCATCCTCCAGTTCCCGGTCCTGCTGGAGGGAAGGAGAGCAAGCCCCGCCGACCTGACCCGGGAGTTCCTCCCGGTGCGGCTGCAGTGCCTGAGGCTAACCGGGACCTCCCAGCACAACCCGGAGGCAAGATGTTCTTCCCGAGCAGGGGGCTGCATCCAGGAGGTGCTGCACAGAGCCCAGGAGCTTTCGCTGGAATCTACGGGCTGCTCCTGGGCCGTGGCTGAGCTGTGCCCGGGGTGGAGCCGCAGCCGTGGTCTCTTCTGGAGACCCCTGTCTGGCCCAGGGCTCCTTTTTTGACCAGTGAGACAGGAGGAAGGTGGCTCGTGGCCCAAGGGCATCAGAAGGTCACCTTTCTCTACAGTGGGTGTTGTGCTGCCAGCAGGAGGCAGATGGGCCCAGGCAGAGCGGAGCTGCAGGAGGACACTGATGAGCAGTGTGGTCTTGGCGACCCCTATGTTTTACACCCAGATCCTGCCTGCTTTCATTTTCTATCCCGCAAATGCCACTCCCAG